CCGCCGGTGCGCCAGCCATCCAGACGCATCCCGGTGCATTATCAGCCCCAACTAGAACGTTTGCTACAGGACATGTTGGATAAAAATATCATCGTACCTTCCTCGTCCCCATGGGCGTCACCTATTGTGTTAGTTAAGAAAAAAGATGGATCCCTCCGTATGTGTATCGACTACCGCAGGTTGAACGCCGTGACGAGACGTGATTCCTTCCCGATCCCTCGCATTGACTCTACTCTCGACGCACTGAGTGGCTCGAAATGGTTCTCCACGTTAGATTTAGCATCTGGGTACTGGCAAGTTGAGGTACACCCTGACGACTGCCCAAAGACTGCCTTCATCCTTCCGACTGGGTTATATGAATTTCGCACCATGCCCTTTGGTTTGTGTAATGCCCCCGCCACTTTTCAACGGCTGATGCAAGTTGTCCTAGATAAGTTAGTTCCACAACAATGTTTAATATATCTTGATGACATCGTTGTCCACGGAAAATCCCCAGAAGAACACATAGAGAACCTACGTACGGTCTTTAAACGCTTACGCACGGCGGGCTTAAAGTTGAAACCATCTAAGTGTACCTTCCTTCAGCGAGAAGTTATTTTCTTGGGTCACCGCATTTCCCCAGATGGCATCCAGACAGATCCAGCGAAAACTCGCCTCATCTCCGACTGGGCTGTACCTAAGTGTAGCAAAGACGTTCGCAGCTTCTTGGGTTTCGCGTCGTACTATCGTCGCTTCGTCCCCGCGTTTGCCACCCTAGCATCACCCCTACATCGCTTAACGGAACAGGGTCGAAAATTTTTATGGACTAGTGAATGTCAAGATGCCTTCAACGAGCTGAAGCGACGCCTCACGTCATCACCCATCCTCGCATTTCCTGACACGTCTCCATCGGCTGGCCCCTTCATTTTAGATACTGATGCAAGTGCCACTGCCATTGGTGCCGTCCTCTCCCAAGTGGCACCCGATGGTCGCGAACGGGTTATCGCATATGCCAGCCGTAAGCTCGACAAACGTGAAACCCGGTATTCCACGACACGCCGAGAGATGCTGGCTCTTGTTCACTTTCTCAAATACTTTCGTCATTATCTGCTTGGGCGCCCATTTCGAGCACGCACCGACCATCGTGCTCTGCAGTGGCTGCAAACCTTTCGCGAACCTGAAGGCCAGGTTGCTCGCTGGCAGGAGCGGTTGCAAGAGTTTGATTTTACCTGTGAGTACCGCCCTGGACCCCGCCACGCTAACGCTGACGCCCTTTCCCGTCTGCCGCCTGATGTTTCCCCGGTGAATGCTATATTAAATACAGGTCTAGATGTTGATTGGGCAGCACTGCAGGCGTCTGACGCCGATATTCAACCTGTCTACTCCCGACAGCTTCACGGGAACGATAAACCGTCGAGTAAAGAACTACAAAGTCTGTCTGATGCAACCAAATGCATCTGCGGTAAGTGGGGGATACTACGCCTGATTGATAACGTTTTGTACATAGTCGAACCGCCATCATCGCCTCGCCTTCTCGTGCCACGTTTGAAAGTCCCGGAGGTAATACGTCTTGTACACCAGCAGCTGGGTCACGCTGGCCAACGAAAAACCGAGCACGCCGTCCGTCAACGCTTTTGGTGGCCACTTCTTCACCACGACGTCACTGAGTTTTGCCGCAACTGTGCTACGTGTGCGCAGATTAAACAGCCCAAAGCATCCCCCCGAGCACCGTTAGTACCGATGCTTACCGAGGCGCCTAATCATCGCGTTGGGGTAGACGTAATGGGGCCAATAACAACGTCAAGACGCGGCAATCGATACATACTTGTCATGGTTGATTACTTCACCAAGTGGTGCGAAGCCGTCCCCTTGCGACAACAAGATGCCTTAACGATTGGCCGCGCGTTCATAGACAATTGGGTGTCCCGTTTTGGTGCCCCTCTTTATCTACACTCTGACCAGGGCGCTGCATTCGAGAGTTATCTTCTTGCTCACATCTGCAATACCTTTGGCATCCGGAAGACCCATACTACGCCATACCACCCACAGGGTAATGGACTCGTCGAACGTACCAACAGAACTATTAAGAACCTCATCAGTGCCTTCTTATGCAACGCACCGGAGAATACCTGGGATGAGGTCCTACCCCAGTGTTTGCTGGCATACCGCTCTTCCATGCATTCATCGACGGGTTTTTCCCCAGCCATGCTATTGTTCGGACAGGAACTCCGTCTTCCAGTCGAGATTCAAACTCCGCTGTTACCATACGAGAAAATCGACTGCATTCCCTATGTCCGACATCTTCGCCACCACCTAGAGGTCGCCTACAACCTGGCGCGTCGTCATCTACAGTCCTCGTCCGACCAACAGAAGACTAATTACGACCGATTTGCCCGTGGCCCCACTTACTCGCTTGGCGATTACGTCTGGCTTCATCGACCATCTGTTCCGGCCGGTTCCTGCCCCAAATTCTACGCTCCCTGGCAAGGACCCTATGAGATCGTCCGGCATCGACCCCCGACTACATATGTCCTGCGGCATCTGCAACGGCCTCAAGCGAAGCTAGTCACAGCACATTATAATCAACTGAAACCACATCATCCAGCAGCCGTCACGGAACCGTCTCCACCCGCGCAACCGCCGCCCGCAACCAGCTACGTCGAGGTGCCGCCCGATGGAGGTGTTGCATACCCTACACCACCACCGGGCACTGAGGACAGTGCCTCCAGAGGGGAGGAGGCGATGTAATGCAATGGAAACCGATACAATGCCACTAAACAAGTTTCTGTTTCTTCTTTTTCAGAAAGAAACGGTGATGTGGCATCATTGGAGCAAGAGGAGGACCAGTTATCAAAGCTTGTTATAAATGATGATAACTAACTTGTACCCGGGTAATTTGAGTCCGGCTTCCTTTAAATAAACGCTTCCTCCGTACCGTCTTCGCCTTCTTCTCCACCCGTCGTGCTTGTGGTCTGTGTGCCTTACAGGTGTACAAGTTCGACGAAGACGATCAAAAACGAATAAAAGTACGTAATAAATTTGTATAAAACATTCGTTTGAAGACTTGTACTGTTCTCCACTTTAATTGCCAAGCAATGTTTCTTCCTTCTTACAATACTGGTGTTTTGGGTTTAAAGTCGCAGAATGTACATAATATTTATCGGTTAGGAGCGTCTTCGTAACAGTAAGAACTTTGGGATATGTTCCCTGACAGCAGCGATTCATTTCTTGTGGCATTAAGCCATGAAATATGGATTCGCATAAACAATTTGCTTTGTGTGAGCCAGGAAATTTTCAGATGGGGTTGAATAATAGCAAGCAGGATGCGGAAAGTAATCATTAAATGGGCTGCTTTCTATGGAATGAGTGTTTAAATTCCGCGAACTCATATGAAACGGATATGTCCAGCTCCCGCAAACGTAGACTTCACCAAGCTAAGATAACCTAATTCCTGCGAGGCCTATGTGGAAACGGACAGTTTCTTTCAATCTTGGCATAAATTTTCCAAGGGTCTAATTAGAGGCATTCAAGAGCCAAGCGTCACGAAACAACCCAAGTACACTGAAAAACTTGACCAAAACCGAAAATGTGAAGTACGGTTAGTAAGACGAATTACAACATATTCTCATTACTTGAAAAAGTCATTTACTTTTTAGACTATTACATGAAGCCCAAGGGTGCGACCAAGACTTCCTATTAGGTAAGTATCCAGAAACAAGTCAAAATTGTGTACGTAACACGATCGGCACCGAACGGTTTTTGTAATTCATGTTGACTGGGTGCATACTTATCACAGTTCTCTGTAAAACTCCATGTACCGTATTCTACATGCCACATGAAAGCTTATAACTTATTTCTTCCTGGCTCTTTGAAAAAGACTTTAGCTGTTTTAGGAAAGTGCAAATAAGGACAGGAAAGCTTTTCACGCGGTCATAAAAGAACCATAAAAACGAAATGAGGTGAGTGAGCCCTAATGCACTTAACTACTGTTTTCTGAATGGCAAACTGACGAGTGAATGTGGGACCATGAGTGGTCAATGCCATTTAAACAAATCTACTCTCTCATCATATACTATTATCACCATACTAGGCATTTTCCACGACAACAGGATAAAGATGGGTAGATTTTAGCAGAGTCACACCACGTACACACTCTTAGGAGACGAAGAATCTTGACAAGTACGCAAGACCAAATTGTATGACGATGCGCGTATGCATCCTCTCAAGCCTTGTGTGCTTGTTCCACACAGATCAGAGAACAGTTAGTAACCACCTCAGAACAACAATAATTATTTCTCTGAGTTCCTAAAGGGATGTAAGGTTTCAGCAGCACATCACCATTTCAATCAATTTTCCGCAGTTCCATTCAACTGACTCCACGGCTGCCCATAAGCTCTCACTTACCCCTCATACCATCTCTCCCATGTTACTCCTGGACGTCGAAGCTGTCGCTTCCCACTCGGATTCCCCTCGAGGGACTGCCTGGTGCTTCATATTACTAAACAGTCTCCTCAGAGTGTGTCCAATCTATCTCCATTTTTGTCTAATATTTGTTCGGCAGTAGGTTCTTGGGTGGTTTGCCACACTCCCATGGTTCCTTGCTGCCGGTTTCTTCTAGTCAGCCATCTGATTTCCAGCACTCAGTGAAGGCAGCTGTTGGAGAACTATAATTAAATCGTCAAAAATAAGAAGCACATTTCAGGATAGGTACTGTTGATTAGGGATGAGCTATCATGCACCAGAAACCAAATGAAACACGACAGCATGTCAAACGAGAATGATACTTGATAGCCTATGTACAGCTTCGCCTGTGGACCTGAACTTTAATTGCCATCAACAGTGAAAAATGTTAGCTAATTACTTACTACTGTGCAGCCCCCACCCCGAAAGTTTAATAAATAGCTCACCACTCTCGAAATCCGCCAGATTTTGATTTACCATGCTTTTCAAAAAAACTGACAGAGGAGAAACCATTTGGGCGATATTACGTCTTTATAAGAATATTGGATATTAAATTTGAAGTGACTGACCTTGTACACATTTGGATGTGAATTCAGTTACCATATGTAAGTCTTTTTGTAAGGTTTTTATAGAATATGTACTTCTTCATGAACTTTAGTGAATGTTAATTTTCAGTATAAACGGCAGTTTCAACTATTCCATTCCGAAACGTAAACGCAGAGGGTAGTATGCTAGCCGACCAAGCATGTGCACATGGTCCGGGTTCGACCCTTGGCCAACACACACCTGATACCATTGGTCGGTCCGCTAAATTTGGCCTCCTGATATCACATGCTGAAAATTCCATAGTTGTACTAAAAACTCTGTGTGGAATCAAGCTATAATAATATTTTAAATAATTAAAAAATAATATGCATATAGCATTTCTGCACATATACCGTAGTTTTTGTCGATATAATTAACAAAATCGGATCGGATTAGTACGTGGTATATTTCTATCAATTACGAAACGAAAGCTATTAGGAAAAGAATCAACTGAAAATAAATGATGTCTCCATCGCACGTGGAAAATGTCGGGTTTTTTGTATGGAAAATGCAACATACCCAAATGAAATTTTTTTGGGGGGGGGCAGTTTCAGGATTGTTAAGAGCTGTCTGGGGGAAATTTGGGTATTTTTTTAGGGGAAAATGTTGTATTTCTATGGGATTTTTCGGATTGTCTCCCTCAAACTGCTGCATTTCCATGGAATCATTACATAGCTGTGCCTCTATATTGCTGCAGAAATTTTTTATTTGGGCACATAGACTAATCCCAACTTTTTGAATGTGTAAGCCACCCTTTCCACATAGTGAAGACAGCGGATAGGACTTATCCGGGGAAAGAGTGTGAACATATGTTCATAGTTTTTGCCGTATATATACAGCCATGTGAGAAATATTTTGAGAGGAAGACTGACTTCTGCTTACCCTCAGCAGTACCAGGTCATCTAAAGGGACAAAAATTAAAGATTTTTTACATTTGCCTTATTAAAAATTTTGGTCATTTTCTTATTTATTACTTCATCTTCTGCTCTGCACTTCTTAGTAATTAATGGCGCAGATGTATTTAGTCTCTGTAATCTTTCATATTCCTTTCTACCATTACCCATTCTGTTTCACTCTTATACTTAACAAACTCTATTGATTCTCTTCACTCATCTTCTTGTCTATCTGTGTGCTATTTGGAACGTGGCAACTTGAACTGCTGCACTTCGGTGCCAAGTTCTATGTTGAATCCAGACAGACAGATATGGTAAAGAATTTACACTGTATGAATAAAACTAATTATATTACTAGCAATGGAAAATAACAACAGTTTTATCCAACACCCTTATAGTAGTTGTCAATAAGCCACATGTATTGTAAGATGGTGATTAATACTCACTGGGTGCTCAAACGGTTGAATGTTTTCTTGTATCAGCTTGTCATCATTTGCGTGTGTGTGTGTGTGTGTGTGTGTGACATATAAGTCCTGTAGTTAGTTGCCACATAAGGTCATTATAATTTACACTGTCCTAATAACGAATAATGATTAGCCTGACAGACAGTCAATCAATATTGTCATTTTTAAATGCCAGTAATATGGAACATATATGAAATTATCAATTCATTGTTACTTCCCATCATATCTGAACACATGGTCGACATACCTATATTGCGTCTTCATCGTTACCTATCCGAGTTGTGGAATCATCTAGGTAGTTGTCAGGATATTGGTGTCTAAAAGGCAGGGAGGAGGGTAAATCAGTCTAGGAGGTTGTGAAGTTACATTCGATGAAATGGCTAGGACACGTTATACACATGCCCAACCATTGCCTTCCTCATCAGGCAATGTCAACCGTTATTGGATTAGGCTAGAAAAGAGTTAGGGATAGTTAACCTAAAACCTGGCATCAATCCATGAAGTTTTTGACTATTGGTTTGAGTCCGCCGCAAAGAGGTGCCGGCTGCCTAGTTGCGGTCTTTGCTATGCTAAGTACCAACGGCTGGAAACTATTGGTAATTAGGCTCAAATTTGTTGTCAATAGCGTAGATATGTTTATTCTTTGTGATCTCCCCTGTATCCACTAAATTGTTATGTTTCTTAATGTTTTCATTCTTTCTTCCGCTATATTTTTACTGATTATAGTTTGTTTGAATCTCTTGATTTTTTCTCTCTTTTTTTGTCTACCTTCGTGTGTTACACAGAGTATGGCAACTGCACGAACTGCGCTTTTGCCTAAAGTTCAGTGTTGGGACTCTGTCAGTTAGGCTGCTTAAATCCCAATAGGTGTAGTAGAATTCTAATTCGTGGTTATGTAGGCTTAAATCAATAAGCCACAACTCAAAAATTGTATTGCTACTGAAAATGCCTGTAGTTAGTTTATCCATTTCCTATTTATCTTGTGATACATTCAACAAGTTTCTTATCACACCCTAATCCTGCAGATAACTGCAACTGTTAACAGTTTTCACATATTCTCTTATGAGTGATATTTAGTTCCAGTAATAAAAAAACTGGTTGAATATTCTATTTCAAATTGTTAAAAACGCTGCACAATGAGGTGAAATGCACGGTGAGAAACTACAAGCTAAAGCGAGGAATTCTAATCACACTGACTGTGGCACTAGACAGTTGACCAAGGCACAGTTTCTAAGTATTAATATGTGTAAAACTTCAGCACTGTGGTAGTAATTCCATATTAGTTTGTTTACTAGATATATCACACAGTGAAATAGTATTATTTACTGGATGACGTTTCGAACAAAATTTATTGTTCATAATCATTTCATCAATTATAATCACACGACTTCCAAACTTGGGTTTTATAGTTTTCTTTGTTCTCTCCTATTTGTCGCCGTAGGGGTAGTAGAATTTTCCAGATCTCCAAATGGACAGGTGTTGAATCATTACTATTACACGTATTTGCAGTTGATTCGATAAAAAAGGAAACTTACACATTCAAACAGATATTTGGACTTCCGATCATCCTATCCTATGTCAGTGAAAATAGGATTGGTGAAATGTTTAAGTAGTAGAGCACAACAACTAAATAGTACTTAGGAAAATCTAAGACAGGAAGTGAGGCATATAAGAGAAACTTTGAAACTTAATTGATGATTACCCTGATAAATTAGTAAGAAAGTATGTAGGGAAATGTAATAATAAAATAAATAATGATAGTAGAGATAATGATAATAATATTATTGGCGACATGCATGTCAAACATGTGCAAGATAATGACAACTTCAACAATAAGGAATCTAAATCATCAGTAGTAATTTCATACAAGAAAGGGACCTCAGAAACCTTAAACAGAATTCTTAACAACACAGGAATAAAAGTGGAATTCAGACACACAAACTCAATTAGAAACAAGCTTTGTCGGTTAAAGGATCCTGATAGGGGAGCTAATTAAACAAAACGATTTATTAGTTTATCTAATACACTAGCCTGAAGTGATTGTCAGGTCAAATACATATGTCAAAGTAGTAGAACAGCGGCAGTCAGACTAGCCGAGCATAAAAACCTAGCAAAATCTAGATTGGTTGACCCATATAAGATAAGAAATCTAGAGAATAGTTCAGCTATAGCACTACACCACATGCAATCACGCATAACCATACGATAGGATGGGATAAGATAACAGTTTTAAAATCTATTGTAACAGGATGGATAGAGGAATTGATAACAGAAGCTTTGTTTATCGAATCAGATGCAAACTCGTGTAATAGGAATGATTCAACAGCTGTCTATTTGGAGATCTGGAAAATTGTACTACCCCAATGACGACGACGAATAGGAGAGAACAAAGAAAACCATAAAACTGAAGTTTCGAAGACGTGTGATTAGAAATGGCATGTCCATGAACAATAAATTTTGTTCGAAACATTGTCATCCAGTAAACAATACTGTTTCACTGTGATATGTCTAATAAACAAACTAATATGAAAACGCAGTTTCTGAGGTCAATTTGTAGCACACGGATGAGGAGTAATTTGAAGGCCAATCAAACCTGCTCTCAAAATGATTACATTGCTATTAGCTATCAGTAGCGTGGGTTTATGCCTAGCCATCGCGCCTTCTGGAGCACTTATCTGAATTCCGATCATGCTTAAGTGTGTCAGGTTTATCTGACGACCTAGTGGTGGTCATGAACGTTTCTTTAAACATGTTAAGATAGACAAATGGTTGTTTCCGTTATTGCAACCAAATATCAAACCGAGTTAGACTCAAAGCTAACTGTTGGTCATCCAGAGAGTGTTAAACATTGCCCAACCGATAGCTGCTGCCTTGGTGTGAAGGTTGGAATTACACATAGCAATGATCCAATGATATACACTGACTAAAACGAATGTTCTTGTAGGTCCTACCATGCCGAAAATGGTTGTTTGGTTAGCGATTAGACTAAAAGCAGTTACCATCATAGTTTAAATCTTTTAGATCTGTGGGCGAAGATGTACCACTAGCGAATAAGAGTGTGACAAGCAATGTGTTTCCCTTGGAGGATAAGCAAGCCAGCTATGTTGTCTCTTCACTCTGGAGGAAGTGGGTTAAAAAGGTAGACTCTGAAAATTGTATATCCCAACTTGCCAAGCCGCTAGTAAGATCTTCTTACGAATACAACTCTGAAAGCTACTTCATTCAGGCCGTGTGGTACCGACAGATATCCCCTGGCCTGTGTGATTAACTGATACTAATCCACCTTCTGTTTTATAAAAAAAAATCCAAAAGAAATCAAATTCCACAGAAAGTAATAACCTCCTACACACTTCTGTATACATACAAGACTTTCCTGACCATCATCCAGCTGTTTCTACATTATCATCATCCTCTTGCTTTTCCCTACACTGTTAATGCCTGCAACTTCTCTTAACTCTGCGACTTGTAGCAATAACCAGAACCTGACAAAAACTATGCATAGGTGACAGTTAAAGCCACATGCTATCCAGGTGAAAATCACTGGGTTTCTGTGATTTCTTTGCAACTTCTCGACATCTTTCAGTCCATTCCAGTGAATAGTAAGTATAATGATCAACTGAAGGCTGTGACACAAAATCAAACAGTGTTTTACCTAAGGACGACGAAACTTAGTGTTCAGAAAGTGTGTAAGATGGAATAAGCAGTTGCATCTGGCAATAGTCAGAAGCTGCTCCATCACACCTGAGTCACAGGCAACAAGAAGCATGGTATCCATGAGACTCTGTGTGACAGACATTGTACTGGTTGATCTAACATGACTCCTGAAAAGCTGGGAAAAGCATAGTTGAAGACATTGAATCCGAATCGCAGCGATCCACTGCCGTTCGACGGCTGACAAAAGGAAGCAAAGATTCGAGGAGACGCTATAAGGCGCCTGACTAGGAAAACTTGTTCATGATACTTCTTAAGGATGGTAGCTAGGCTGACTGACTGACTGGTTTCAACGCAGAACTTTTCACAGATGTGAAGTAGTTCGAGTCGCCACAATCCCTCCATGTGTGAGGCAAAAAGAATATTATTATGGAAGAACAATAGAATTTTATAAGTCACAAAGAGTGAATGCATCTGCACCAGCCATTGACAACAAAGATATTGAACCATATTACCAATTGTCTCCAGCCTTCATTCGTTTTTACCATCCCGAGGACCCCAACCAGTCAGGAAGTCTACACCTACCCATGTCGCTGGCTGGCTTAAACTAACTGTTGTGGATTTCATTGACTGATGAAGTCATGTTTTGGTTTGACCACCACTAGCTCTCTCTTTTCCAACCTGACCCTATGTCAGCTAACATTGCCTGTTGTTAAGGAAGACGATGGATGGCTAGGGATACTTGCGTAATACATATCCTAACCATCTCAATCGGTGTAACTTCACAACCTCGTCAATTGGTTTTCACTCCCACCTACCTAGCACTCAAAGAAGTCTAGCCTTAATATTACTCACTTTATTATACCACTTAACATGGGAGATAAAATGGAGACACTTATGAGCAATGAAATTTGGTCATTACTATGGAATCACTGAGTTTTCAACGTAAAATTTTTTCTCAGAATTGTAACAATTCAAGTCGTCACACTCCATATAGCGCACAAAGGTAGAGAAAAAATTCAATTAGAAATGTGCAGCTAACAGAAGTATGTAGAGAATAGTGAGTATTCGATAGATTTAGAAAAGTACAAAGATTGAATTCATCTTTACCATCGAGAATAATTTTGACTCACATCAACAGCCTCAAGCCATTGATCCGAGACCATGAATGTGCCAATATTTTAATGCATGCAACAATCATCGGTTGCATCTAAAATACTAGTTACTGGTGTGCTTCACATGCATTGTAAAACTTCTGAAAACGAATTTGTTAAGGACAGTCTGGGTTTCATTCAGGTCATTGCTGCATCGATCACCCATATGGTTTACCCTTTATGGGTTGTTAAAGCTCTGTCACGTGTTTTGCAGGCTAATAGTCATTGTGCTTCTTGATATTTGGTCTGTTTTTGATTCGTTGAACAGTGCTGTTCCTCAGAACTATCTGTTAGGGAGAGACATGTTCTTGAAAAATTTATCAACTTACTCAAAACACCATACAAAAAAGTTCTTAGGTAGGCTTAAGGTTTGCAACCGGAACTCATTTCCTCTCTCAACTAGTAGTAGGGTTAACTAGGATTGCCCGATCTGACTATTTTGTCTCTTATTTTGCTATCTATAACATTCTGGAGATATATGTGATGTGAGCGGTGGTAGTTCAGGTCTACTGCCTGGAGAAAGACTTTTCGACCTTGAGTATACAGATAACATCGTTTTTTTGTCTGTGTAAGAATATACCTGCTACTGAAACCTCTCTTAGTGAGTTGAAAATTAATATGTATGAGTATAATATATGCTGTGTTCCGTCCAAATGAAAGGTACCTCAACAATCATTATATTTCTTGACCTAAAGGCGGAATTCGATTCTGTCGATCGAGCGGTTATTTGGAGGTGCTTAGGTGTAAAGGGAATGACGAGAAAATACATTGCACTGATCAAGGCCATCACTGTACTCGTACTCATACAGCCAGGTAAGGGCTTACAGCGAGCTGTCATCTGAACTGGTGACGACTAGTGGTGTCCGTCAAGGATGCCCATTATCCCCTTTTCTATTCAATTTCATCATAGATGTACTAATGGACTTAACCCTAAGTGACTTCAGCGACGCAGGGATTGACTTACTACCAGGGAATAATCTCGTTGACTTAGAATATGCAGACGATATAGTCCTTCTAGGCGAGGACGCTGAAAAATGCGGAGTCTTCTAAACACCTTGAGCTGCAATCTACGAATGTTTGTCATGCGATTCGCTCGTGCTATCAAATGTAAGATGATGTTACAGGACTGGACTACATCGACTCCTAGATTAGAAATAGGGAGTGAAGTGGTAGAGCACGTTGACCGCTTCACTTATTTGGTAAGTACCATCAGCCAATGCCAGTGGGTTGATCTCTGACGAAATCTCAGTACGGATACAGAGGGCTCGTTTCGTATATGCCAGTTTACGCCGTCTCTGGCGTAGACGTGATATCCGGCTGACTGTCGACCAGAGGGCTGTCGTACTGCTCAGCAATCCGCTCCGTCCTCCTTTATGGCTGTGAGTGAGACCTGGCCATTGAGAGTGGGAGACATGAAACACCTGACTAGCTGTATTTGATCATAGGTGCCTGCGTTCTATCTCCCGTAGTTACAAAGACTGAGGTGGTTAGGACATGTGTTACGAATGCATTCCTAGCCATCGCCTTCCTTGAGGAGAAACGTTAGCTGACATAGGGTCAGGTTGGAAAAGATCTAGCGGTGGTCAAACTAAAACATGGCTTCACCAGTCAATGAAATCCACAATAGTTAGTCTAAGCCATGTAGGAAGGTGTAGACTTCCTGACTGTTTGGGGTCTTCGGGACGGTAAAAACCAATGGTTGGAAACAATTGGTGACATGGCTCAAAGTCATTCTCAATGGCTTGCGCAGATGCATCCACTGCTTGTGACTTATGATTTTCAATGAAACTTTATCGTTCTTCGTCATTACTATTCTTTTGTCTCACACCTCTGTTTACTGTCTCTATTATGCATTCCTTCTACTTTCTTCTCTTGCTTTGTGTGCTATATGAAGTGTGGCGACTTGAACTGCCGCACATATGTGCTAAGTTCTATATCGAAAATAGACAGACAGACAGACCTCAATAAGACTGGCAGGAACTTGTACTTGCATTCACCCTTGCAAACTGTTAACCTGTCAGAAGTAGTCGACATGTTGATTTGCCTTGATAATCGTGTGAATACTGGCAGTATGACGAGTGAAATATCTAATCGCACATTCAATGGCAGACTGGAATATGTATGAGCCACCACTGGCACTATCACGACTTTATTCCAGGAGTTAGGTCTCGGATTTAAAGCATCGCTCTCTCTGTGAGCTCATCCTTATCCGACACTTGTGAAACCTGATCTATCTTTTAAACTAAAATAGAGTAATTCTTAAAATTTTTTATATACTTTCTCGAGTATGCAGACGATATCGTCTTACTGTGCGATAGCATGCAGGTTGACCAAATCGCACTTAATCAGTTGGCGATCAGTGTCTGTTAGTACGTTATGTGCTTTGCGCCGTCTAAGTGCAAAGTACTGTTACAAGATTGGCAGGAGTCTGTACCTGCACTCACTCTTGCGGGTGAACCGCTTGAAGTTGTTGATAAGTTTGTGTATCTGGGTAGTTGTTTGAGTGCTGGCGGAGGAGTGACGGATGAGATTTCCAACCGTATAATGAAGGCTAGGGTGGCATACACCAACTTGAGCCACCTCTGGTGCCGTCACGACGTTAACCTGGCTATCAAAGGTCGGGTATACAATGCTTCGGTGTGGGCTGTTTTGCTCTACGCCTGTGAAACCTGGCCTCTCCGAGCTGAGGATGTTCGGCGACTCTGCGTGTTCGATCATCGCTGTCTCCACAGGATTGCTTGCGTTCGATGGCATCATTGCGTGAGTAATTCTGAGGTTCGGCGGCGTGTGTTTGAACACAGTGGAGATCACCATTCATTGAGTGTCATCATCTGGAAACACTGGCTCCGGTGGCTTGGACATGTACTGAGAATGTCATCCCAGAGGCTTCCGTACAGTTCTCTGTTCGCCAGCTCTGGGACGGGATGGAAAAGGCGGACGGGTGGTCAGTCCATGACGTGGCGTTGTGGGATGAAGGATTTTTGTGCTAGATTAGCATCGGTCGGTGTGTCACGACTCCCTGGTTGGGGTCCGCGAGATAGCTCGAATCGATGACTCGAAACGTTATCAGATATGAGCAAGAATCGTAATCAATGGCGAACGTGTTGCAGTTTTCTTCTTTCTTGCCTTCCCGATGATAGTTAACGAATACTGTTTGAACTTGTTAAGCATGACTGTTTTCCTTCCAGATGAAGTTCTTTATCCGTTCTCTACTTATATATTTTTTTCTTTTCTTTCCCTTTTTCTTTTAATCTATTCTATTTTATTGTTATTGTGTGGCGCATCCTTCTTGGTGCCACATTGTACCAAGTTTTTATGCGTTTAAATAAATAAATAAATATATTTTCTCTCTTTCCAAACATAAATAGATTCCTTGCACTGTAAAATGCTATCTTCAAGTAATCCGGATGAAGAAAATTGTCGTATATGCAATATAAGTATGAAAAATTGGAATGTGGAACGAAGAAAGCTTCATAAAAATTCATGTTGTGAAACAGCAGTAAGTCAGTCTTTTTTTTTCATTATACTCTTTATTACCTTAATTACTGCTTGGAACAAATGCCTTCAGACGCCTGTTCACCTATGTCTTCTGTAATTCTTCTTAGTTGACTCCACAAATACTCAAAAGCTTTCATTTCCTCATCACATAATCTCCACCATGTCACCCTCGGATGGTTAATTTGTCAGCCATTTTCAAATTCAGGTTCCACTAGAGGGTTGCATATTGAGTGTGATGTGCATCAGCCTTTAATATGCTTTTAAGCATTCATATCACATGCTGTGGATACACTCTTAGTTTGTTTGCTATCCGAAGTTTACTTTCCTTGTTCAAAGCCTTTAGATGTCCGTGTTAAACGTTATCTGCTGGACCCACACAAAAAAAAACTTGGATGATTTGGACTTCGCCGATGATATATGTCTGATTTCCCACAAACTGGAAGATATGCAAGTGAAAAACAACAAGCTGGCGATAGAAGTATCTAGAGAAGGCAGGACTTCAGGTGAACATATAGAAAACAGAGGTGATGAAGATTCCTGGCCAACACCAATAGCAACAACAACAGACAGCAATCAGCATAAATGGAAGGAACCTGAAAGAAACAACCTCATTTACCAACCTACCTGGGAAGCATCGTTTCAACTACAGGCGGACAGAACTGACGAGGATATCAAGGCGCGGATCGGGAAGGCAAGGCAAGCTTTCATTACTCCCAAGTCTGTGTGGAGATCAACAGCACTCAGCATGAAAAATTAGATCCGGATTTTCAACTGCAATGTAAAGTCTGTGCTACTGTACGGATTACAGACTTGGTGCTGTGTCACTAAGGGCCCTTTGAACAAACTATAGACTTCATTGACAGCTGTCTTTGCTCAATACCACTCAAGATCAGATGGCCAGAAAATATCAGCAACAGGAATCTCTGAGAGCTAACCAACCAGGAACCGATTGTGCAGAAAACATGTGGGAAGAAATCCAGGTTTTGGATTGTCCATACTCTGAGAAAACCATCAGGTAACATCATACGACAGGCTCTCGAGTGGAAGCCGAGCGGGAAGCGGCGAGTTGGTCATCAGTGCGAGGGTGACATGGAGGAGGTCATATGAAGAGCAGATGAAAGCATGTGGGCAGACTTGGAGTCAGGTGAAAACTCTAGCAGAGAACCGAACGCAATGGAGACGTTTGGCTGAAATCCTATGTTCTTCTAGGAATTAAAGGAAGTAATAATAATTATTATTATAGTTAAACGTTATCTTTACTACATTTTCGATAAGAAAATGTAGTTGTAGTGTTCTTCATGAGTATTTGTAGAAGGAGTTATTGCTGGTATATTATACTACTGGTTGGTATGAGTAGTTCAGTGGTCAGGGTTCGATTCCTGCTTGACTGACTCCTACATCTCAATTAGTTTACTGGCCTGAAATAGAAGGTAAGTTGCGGGAGAAATTAGTAGCCCCATTCCATAAAAACAACATTATCACTGGTAAAACTACTTCAAAAGCTCCAGGCCCTCGGAATGCAATGGGACAAACAAAAGAAGACATGAATAGCTGGGAGACCACTTTCAACATGCCAGTCAGATCAATCAAATCGAAGCGATCTAAACACCAGATGCCTCCTTTGTTCGTTTGGTGGTAAGCTGATCACTGGCGTACCATATTTAACTCAAGTTTTATCATGGATTGATATGGTTTAGCGAATCATTAGAAGTCTAACAGAAAATACTGGACAGATGTTTCGTCCTAGTTTGAGAATTTTCATCAGTACGTGCCTATGACAACATTGTAAAGGATCGAACCTAGAACCTAACCTAGCTTCAGAATAGGAAGTGAAGTAGTTGGTGATGCGTGCTGACCATTTTACTTATTTGGCGATTTGCATCAGCCCCAATGGGTTGACCGCTGATGAAATCCAAGCACAGATAATATAAACGCTGGTATGGCATTTGTCTGCCAACTTACGCCATCTTTGGCCTAGTAAACATCATATCCAGCTGACTGTCGACCAAAGGACGTGTGATGTGTACTGCTCAGCCCCGATCTGCTCTGTCCTCCTTCATGACTGGCTGGCTTTGAGACATGGTCATTGAAAGTGGAAGACATGAAACACCTGGCTAGTTGTCTTTGATCATAGGTGCCTGCGTTCTATTTCCAGTATTAAGTGGTATAATAGGGTGAGTAATTTTGAGTTGGTTAGGCTTCGGTCGAGTACTAGGTAATGAGAGGAAATCAATCGACGAGGTTGTGAAGTCACACTGATTGAGATGGTTAGGGCGTGTGTTACGAACGCATGCCTAGCCATCGCCTTCCTTGACGGGCAATGCTAGCTGACATAGGGCCAGGTTGGAAAAGAGAGAGCTGGTAATGATCAAACGAAAACATGATTTCATCAGTGAATGAATTTCATAACAGTTAGTTTAAGCCAGCCAGCCAACCACGTAGGCGGGTGTAGACTGACTGGCTGACTGGTTGGGGTCGTCGGGATGATGACGGCTGGAGACAATTGGTGACATGGTTCGAATTCGTTGTTCTTATTGATGGCGCAGATGCATTCACTTCTTGTGACTTATAAAATTCTATTGTCCTTCCATATTACTAGTCTTTTTCCCTAATTCACACTTCTGTTTATTATCCCTTTCTATTTTGAATCTCTCTTTACTCTCTTCTCTTGCTTTGTATGCTACATGGAGGGAGTGTGGTGACTCGAACTATTGCACATCTGTGCAGAGTTCTATGTTAAAAGCAGTTAGTTAGTTAGTCAGTCAGAACGTAGAACCTTCATGTTTTGACTACAGGACAAAGTTGCGTAGAGTTCTAATAAAAAGTAATGACCTGCGTGATTCATCAGGTCGGGTGTGGGACAAATACTTCCCCATAACGTCGTGCTGGTGGTGATGGCGCTATAAATAATAATTTGACAAAAGTTAGAATTGATGGGTCATTGGCCTCCTTTCGTCCAATGGCTGAATGGGCAATGACGTCGCCTGGGAACCTAAATGTCCTAGTTTTGATCATCTGTAGGGTCATGGGTGCGTACTGATGAAGGGTTTCAGAATAGTTCGAAACAGATGTCTAGTATTCTGTGGTGATTTTCAATGGTTCTCTATCTCATGTCAGTCCTCAATCCAACTTGTCATATGTGGAAAGCTCTACTCATATAAATTCTAAAGTACACATAGCGTAATAAAAGTATGATTTCAATTTTATTTATTGATTTATTCTTTTTTCCCCTCAACTATTAGATGATATACTGTCATCGTTGTCCTGCATGTCATAAAGAAATTGAAAGTCGAGTAAGTTCTATGTAGCATTCGATAATAATAATAATATTGATTTTTATATTCATTAAGTATCATTACTATTATTATCACTACACGCCTTTGTTTCGACTTTGAAGTTTATGCATACTCATTGTCCAAAACTGAATATGCTTTAATTAAAATACATGTAAGCCTACTTCTTCAGTTAGATGTGAATAAAGTTGTGGAGAGTGAGGTAATGTTTGCGGTGTCTGTAGGAGGTCATACAGTATGACATCAAGACTGATTAAATGAGTTTTAACATAAGACTGTGCACAAAAGTGTTGCAGTTCAATTTGCCACACTTCGTGTGGAAGAACACTTTGAGGAGCAATACAATTGGCCTACAGCCACGACCGACCGAATGCCGCTACCCTGACGTGGTGGTCGGGCTTGAACACCGCAATGACCTAATCAAGCTATACTGGCTGAGACTTATGTCTCTTGAGGTCTACCATGCCAGGCAGGTTGTTTGGATAGCGGTTAAACAAAAAGCAGCTACCCAATCCAACATCATGATCAATACAAAATCACAAAATTTCATGCCGGATCGGCCGTGGCCCGGATTAACAACGACCGCGCTTCCTGCTGCCGTGTCACAGGGCAGGAGTGATAAATATGCTACTGAGACACACAAAACAAAACGCAAACAAAAACAGGCCGCGTGTGACCGGCCTCAAGCAGTTGTCCCCTGGGCTCTGCGGTCACGCAACCAACTTCCACGGTGTGGGCAGCCGGGAAGTAACAATCGCCCTCACAATCCGAAATGCACACGAAACCTCTCTATTACTCACTCATCTTTGTCTTCATCTTCATCTCTATCATCTTGCCTTCCTTCCACTGATGCAACTCCTCGACTTGATAGCTCTCCACTTCCTCTCCACTCTGCGTCCACTAAAAACGATGGAAGCCAAAAAACCACCACCGACAGCCTCTTAAAGCCGCGCCACCAATTTCATATAGGAGCTCTTAATGTTAGGACACTTTGCCAAATAGGACAACAAGCATCACTAGCCAAGACCCTGGCATCACGAGCCATTGATGTATGCTGTGTTTCAGAAACACGCATACAAGACCCAAGTGTGGTTATTCACCTAACCCCACCTGGCCAACAGGTTGAATCTGCAAAATTCACCTTGAGGGTGTCAGGAGATGCCACAGCTAGTTCACGAGGATTAGCTGGCGTAGGGATAGCTTTGAGTACTAGGGCAGAAAAGACATTGCTTGACTGGATCCCGGTAGATAGCCGAATGTGTGCTGTCCGTCTGAACGGATCAGTAAGAAGGAGAAGGACTGCACTACTCGCCGATGCCTTTTCGTAATCTCCGCCTACGCCCCCACTGACTGCAGTTCAGATGAAACGAAGGATGAGTTCTACCAAAAGCTGTCTAGTTTGGTGAGAAAGGCTAAACGCTCAGACATAGTCGTTCTAGCTGGTGACTTTAACGCTCAAGTAGGGAAATTGTGTCAATCTGAGAAGGATGTCGGTGGCACCTATGGAGTTCCGTGCCAGCGAACCGACAACGGTGACCGTCTCCTACAGTTCTGCTCTGATAATCATTTGTTTCTTGTAAGCACTAACTTCAAACACAAGGAGAGACACTGTTTGACTTGGAGACCCCCTTCATCAAACCAACGCTGGACACAAATAGACCACATAGCAATAAGCTATCGTTGGCGTGGGTCGGTAGGAGATTGTCGCTCCTTCTGGAACACGTGTGTAGATACCGACCATGCACTGGTCCGCGCTCGGGTGTGCTTACGACTGAACGGACGTAGGAAACAGCTGGCGGTAAAACCATCACGTCCCCAGCTCGATCAGGAAACTAAATCCGTATTTGAGGAAGAACTAGCTAAACACATATCTGTGTTCGACAGCTGTGCTCACCCTGAAGAAGCTTGGAAAAATATCCAGGCAGCCATAGATACAGCTGTAAAAGCTGTGAATAAGGTAAACCCAAAGGTGAGTAAAAACCACTGGATCTCCACCGCCTCATCCGAACTGATAGATGCTAGAAGACTTATTCCGGCGAGCTCCGAATTCAATGAGGAGCGAAAGCTGCACAAGAGGAAACTTACGAAAAGTCTCCGCAAGGACCGTGAACAGTGGTGGGCGACAAAAGCCAAAGAGATGGAGAAAGCTTCGAGGATAGGCAACACCAGGCAACTCTTTGGACTCATCAGGGAAACGGGTGGGAGAAGACAAATCATAGTGAGACAATCTCGGAAAAAAATGGCACTATAATTAGCTCCCAGGATAGACGACTGGATCGTTGGAAAGAGCATTATGAGGAGCAGTTTAATTTGCCCACAGCCACGCTCAACCTTCCGAGCATCCAACACCTCCCTGAATGGGATATAGACACAGGTCCTCCATCCCTAACTGAGGTTACTAAAGCTGTCACCAATCTGAAACTAGGCAAAGCAGCGGGACCTGATGGAATGACTCCAGAGGTATTTAAGTACGGTGGAGACAGCTTACTGTCTGCATTAACTGAGGTACTAGGCAGCGTCTGGGAATCAGAAGAAGTCCCATCGGGTTGGTGTAAGTCACTGATTATCCCCATATACAAGAAGGGAGACAAGTCTTCCTGTGATAATCACAGAGGGATTAGCTTGACTAATATAGTATCTAAAGTCTTAGGCTCAATAATCATGCGTAGACTGAGTGGTGCTCGGGAGCACAAACACGAGAGAGCCAGGCAGGCTTTAGACCAGGAAGAGGGTGTATTGATCATATCTTCACCCTCCGACAGATTCTAGAACATAGGCATTCCTACCGGCGTCCAACAGTCATTATATTTCTTGACCTAAAGGCAGCATTCGACTCTGTCGATCGAGAAGTTCTCTGGAGATGCTTGGCTGTAAAGGGAATTCCGAGAAAATATATTGCACTGATTAAGGCACTCTACTCGTACTCATACAGCCAGGTGAGGGCTTACGGCGAGCTGTCATCTGAACTGGTGACGACCAGTGGTGTCCGTCAAGGATGCCCATTATCCCCTTTTCTATTCAACTTCATCATAGATGTGTTAATGGACTTAACCCTAAGTGACTTCAGCGACTCAGGGATTGACTTGCTACCAGGGAATAATCTCGTTGACTTGGAATATGCAGACGATATAGTCCTTCTAGGCGAAGACGCTGAAAAATGCAGAGTCTTCTAAACACCTTGAGCTGCAATCTACGAATGTTTGGCATGCGATTCGCTCCCGCCAAATGCAAGATGATGTTACAGGACTGGACTACATCGACTCCTAGTTTAAAAATAGGAAGTGAAGTGGTAGAGCACGTTGACCGCTTCACTTATTTGGGAAGTACCATCAGCCAATGCCATGGGTTGATCTCTGACGAAATCTCAGCACGGATACAGAGGGCTCGTTTCGTATATGCCAGTTTACGCCGTCTCTGGTGTAGACGTGATATCCGGCTGACTGTCGACCAAAGGGCGGTCGTACTGCTCAGCAATCCGCTCCGTCCTCCTTTATGGTTGTGAGTGAGACCTGGCCATTGAGAGTGGGAGACATGAAACACCTGACTGGCTGTATTTGATCATAGGTGCCTGCATTCTATCTCCCGTGTGAAGTGGTATAATAAGGTGAGCAATGTAGAGGTTAGGCATCGAGTTCTAGGTAAACAGGGGAAATCAATCGACGAAGTCGTGAAGTTACAAAGACTGAGATGGTTAGGACATGTGTTACGAATGCATTCCTAGCCATCGCCTTCCTCGACGAGCAATGTTAGCGGAGATAGGGTCAGGCTGGAAAAAAGCTAGCGGTGGTCAAACAAAAACTTGGCACCAGTCAATGAAATCCACAACAGTTAGTCTAAGCCACGTAGGAAGGTGTAGACTTCCTGACTGGTTGGGGTCCTCGGGATGGTAAAAAGCAATGAAGGCTGGAGACAATTAGTGATATGGCGGAGTTGCATCCACTCCTTGTGATTTAAAATATCCAACAAAATTCTATTTTTCTTCCATATTACTATTCCTTTTGCTTCATATCTCTATTTTGAATCTCTTTTTACTTTCTTTTGTTGCCTTGTTTTTTGCTAAGTGGATGGAGTGTAACGACTCGAACTGCTGCACATCTGTGCAAAATTCTACGTTGAAACCAGTCAGTCAGTTATATAGATATTCCGTCAAATCTAACCACATGAATGATCTGTGTCCCGGGAAAATTCTGTTGTCTTCCCTATTTGCGGATAATTCTCTCATCACCTCTCAACAAAGATTTCACCAGAGAGATACAGTTGTCTTCAGACAGAGTATTGCCAAGTAAATAGAGTTAGTCGTAAAAATTCATATGAGTGCGTTGGATAACTATTCATAGTTATTATATTTTACATCACCTGTACACTAGACTGTTTTTCTAAACCCTCATTTTCTAGGTATCCAGAACACACCTAAAACGATGTGCTTCACGACTTAAGATGGATTTATTCAGTTTTATGGCTTTATCATGTCAAGATCAACATTTTATCAGGTGAATTGGGTGTTATGTTTTAATTTTCAAAAAGTTATGAAATAACCTATTTACTGTATTTTTTTACTTAATCGCTTGGATTTTGCTTTAAACATTAATGGAGCTACAGCTTCTTGGGGATCCCATTTGATCGTGTTGATTTCTTGGCCTTCGGTAACTTTTTATGGTCTTCAAGACTTATGTTTTGTCGGAGGGTTCGTGTTCAACGGGAGGGAGTTGAAAGAGGTTACTTCATCCACTTATCTAGGGAGCATTGTCTCAACTACGGCAGGAACGGACGAGGATGTGAAATTGAGCGAGAATCGGGAAGGCGAGAAACACATTCATCAACCTGAAACCAATCTGGAAATCTTCGTCACTCAGCATCAACAACAAAATTTGGGTTTTCTATACAAACGTAAAGTCAGTTCTTCTATACGGGTCGGAAACTTGGCGGGTCACAAAGAATATTTCCGACCAACAGGCTATGGCAGACATTACCTTTATCAACAACTGTCTTCTCTGGATCTATACTGAAGATCAGATGGCCAAATCGGAAAGAATCGCCAACAAGAAACTATGGGAACAAACAAAAAAACAAGAACCAATCGCCGCCCAATAAATATGCAGGAGAAAGTGGGAATGGATTAGACACTACTCGCTGAAGAGGCCGCTGGGTGACATCGCACTCCCGTCAGGCCATTGCTCGAGTGGAACCCGAAAGAGAAGCGGCGAGTGGGACGTCAGTGCAAGGGTGACATGGAGGAGATTGTGTTAAGAGGAGGAGGAGTTGAAAGAGTATGGAGTAACATGGATGCAGGTGAGAAGTACAGCAGAAGACAGAAGCAAGTGGAGACGTGGAGTTGAAGCCGTATGTTCCACTAGGAACCCAAGCGAACAATAATAATAATAATGGTATTCACTGGTAGTTCTGTGTTTGTTGATGATATGTCTGGACGAGCTGTAAGCGGTAGTCGATTCATAATACTTTGAAGTGATCAGCCCAGTGTTTTCTCTGCCCCACCTTCTTTGATAACTGGGTGTCCTTCAGTATCTTTTTACTTGCCTACTCTGCGCTGGTCTATTCCTGGATAGTGACATAGTTGTTTGATACAATCTAGTGAGGTCTCTTTTACTTACAGTCTGTTCTGCTTCAGCTGACATTGTGTCGTAGAAGTGTATTTTGTCTCTTTTAGCATTCTTCTTCACTTCTTTGTTCAGTGAGTTGTAGATTGAAATCAGCTTCTCCCTTGGTTATCCATCTTTGCACTGGTTCATCTTCTGTTTTGCCATCCCTTTCTCTCCTATTAACTTCCAGGTGTGCGTAGAAGCCATTTCTTGTCGTGCCTTTTCTTTCTTCCACACATGCGTTTCCTCTGTGATGTTACAAAATATCTCCGATTTTGCTGCGATGGCTGCAGTTAATGCGTCCTTTGTAGTTTCTGGATGTTGAATTTGAATTATGGCCAGCTTCTTCAGCTTCTTTGAAGGCTTTCAACGTGACTTTGATGATTCCTAACCCTAGATGGTGGTCTGAATCTGCATCTGATCTTCTTCTCTGTTCCGTGTTCAATAGGTGCGTCTCTAGCTTTTTTTGAGATTGAGATGGCGTCTATCTGATTTTCAGTGTGTCCACCCACGTTCCCTGTGGATCTCCTTGTGCTCGTACACTCTACCTGCGGTCACTAAGTCATTAAACGTTCATAAGTCTGGGAAGAATTCTTTCTGTTCTCGTTCACTTGTCTGATAGCCTCTCGGCTCATGTTGTATTCTCGCTTTGTGTTACATTATCCCAGTTTGAATAATGCGACAGAAAGCGGGAAATGAAGAAACAGGCATAAAATGGACCCACACAAAAACTTGGAGGATCTGGACTTTGCCGATGATATATGTCTGATTTCCCACAAACTGCAAGTGAAAAGCAACAAATTAGCAGAAGAGGCATCGAAGATAGGACTTCAGGTGAACAAATAGGGAAAACAGAAGTGATGAAGATTCCTGGCCAACAGCAACAACAACAACAGACGACAATCAGCCGACATAAACGGGAGGAACCTAAAAGAAACAACCTCATTTACCTACCTGGGAAGCATCGTTTCAACTACAGGCGGAACTGAAGAGGATATCAAAGCAGCGAGGATCGAGAAAGCAAGACAAGCTTTCATTACTCTTAAGTTTGTATGGAGGTCAACAGCACTCAGCATCAAAAATAAGATCCGGATTTTCAACTGCAATGTAAAGTCAGTGCTACTTTATGGATCAGAGACTTGCGCTGGGCGTCATGAAGAGCACTTCAAACAAACTACAGACCTTCATCAACATCTGTTATCGCTGAATACCACTCAAGATGAGATGGCCGGCCAGAAAAGATCAGAAACAGGGATATCTTGGAGCAAAGCAACCAGGAACCGACTGTGCAACAAATAAGCAGGAAGAAATGGAGTTGGATTGTCCATACTATGAGAAAACAAACCATCAAGTGACATCACTAGACAAGCCCTCGAGTGAGACCCGAAAAGGAAGCGGCGAGTTGGTCGTCCAAGGGTGACCTGGAGGAGGTCATGTGAAGAGGAGATGAAAGCATGTGGGCAGACATGGAGTCAGGTGAAAACCTGAGTAGAGAACCGAACTCAGTGAAGACGAGCGGATATAGTAATAATCCCAATTTGACATTCATGTCACTCGTTAGAATTTGTCCATTACTGCTTGCAGTTGTCTCTAGAAGTCCCTCTTCTGTTGATCTGCGTTGTTTTTAAGTGTGAAGCATTGTATACCTGCAATTCTCCTTCTTTTCCATTTGAATATTGGTATCATTATCCTAGAGAAGACTGGTTCCTACTAGAGGAGGACCTTTAGTGTTGTTGGTAATAGCCATACTCTGAGTGTGTTCGTTGTCGTCAGCTGCATGACTGGAGTACATCAATGACTCTCCAGTTAACAATTTAAAGGGGGTGGAATGCTTCCTTATAATCTCACAAATTTCTAACACTTTCATACCATATACTTCTCATGTCTTCTGCAATTTGAGCAGCCCTTCCCATCTTAGAACATTCCATGTCCGCCCCCCTCCCATGTTTATTTTTTGATTTCATCGGACGAAAGACATATATCGACCTATTAACTTCTTCCTGAAGGCTTTCACTCATTAGTGCTATTCGTCCTCTAGTTGAGGAGCTTTTCCAATTCTGCTGGAAAATAAATTTATTTTCTTCTGCACATTGAAGTTTCAGTATGGGTCAGGTAGGTTTTGTTCCAAGAGGGATGGCTCCCAACCTACACTATCTACGCGTGGCTTTACTATTGGTTAAGTAAGGGGCTTAAAAGCGCGTCGATAAAGCCAATTGACCTTGGACCTCCGGCGTAGTTGGCGAGCGTTCTACCACTGGTTCTCTTTCCAGTTGGTATATCTACTCTGTTCATCAGAGGGTAGATTTTAGGCATTGTAGCAGAATTTAACTTCATGTTACATAAGTTTATTTTTATATATAACACAGTGATATATTAGAGGTTAATTTGGTGGATGGTGGTGGCTAGCAGTGGAATCCAGTCAGGATGCGCATTTCGTCATATTTGGGACTCGTCATCCAACTGGATGTACCTGCATTCCTCAGTGAGTGATGATGTTCCCACTGGGGCTCGAACCCAGTGCCCATAGTTTCAAACGCCAAAAGCGTTATGCAGGTACATCCAGTTGGATGACGAGTCCCAAATAGGATGAAATGCGCATCCTGACTGGATTCCACTGCTAGCCACCACCATCCACCAAATTAACCTCCAATTACATGCCCAACAGACATCGTTGAAGGACATCTGTACAAGAAGCCGACGTGTCAACCTGAGACCGAGCACTTTGGTCCAGTCAATCGATGGGAAAATCTAAAAATTTCAGTTAAACAGTGATATGTTATTTAAGCATAATATATAGCTCATAGTCATCTGAAACATATTCACACAATTTGATCACTTGCTTTATGTGTAGACTTACTGCCTCGTGTTTTCTAATGTATGTGTAAAACTTGGGCACTGTCGTAGTAAGTAATTCCATATTAGGCAAAGTTAAACTTTCGACACCACTAACAACCAATCAGCAAACGACCTTGAACGAGCCAATTACATTAAAGAGGCATATATGATGAATGGAAATGTATATTTATAGAAAAAAAGCACAAAATAGAGAATGAAAAAGTTACATGGGATATCTTTCTCGAACATGTGAGAGAAACATCTCCCAGTTTAGCATGGGACTGTCAATGCTTTTCCATCTGCTTTCCTTTCGACGAATCCCTTTCGGAGGGAGGTTTCATACAAACCTATTACCCAAATATTGTTCGCTCGCTGGCGACCACGGTTGTATTTCTTTTTTACCAGCACTGTCTCATCGACACGCACGATAACGTCTTCCCCACCTAGCAAACAAGTGATTTTCCCCATTTTCCATGATGCGATGTCTCTGCAATGCTGGTACCACTGAACTGTTGAGACATGGCTATTCTCCATCTCGGCAGCTGCTGCTCTCACAGCTTGTTTCAACACCCATTAGTTGCAGAGATACAAAATCTGAGTTAGGGAGAGATGCGACCTAGTGAAAGTAAGTTCCTACGAAATATTAAAATTATCAGCTTACCCTCTCCAGATGAACAAACCCATCAGTTGATTTGGTATAGCTTTTTAAAGCAATGATACAACCACACAAACAAATTCGCTCTTTCCGGAGCACCTGAAATCCCGGAAATACTGGGAAACACTAACCTCCTCGAATTGCAACTGTAGCCTTGTAAGGTCACGCATTAGAAATGAATCAAGCGCTATACAACATTGAACTGCGTTCGCGAACCTCATTGGATAATTCGACATCGTTCGTGAATCTCATTGGATAATTCCCTGATTGGTAGTTAGTGGTGTCGAAAGTTTAACTTCGCCCCATATTAGTTTGTTTATCAGATGTATCACAGTGAAACAGAATTTTCATACATTTATTCCTCTTAATGAATTTGAACAAAGCAAGAACTACAGTTTTAGCA